ATATTCTTGAAAAAATAACCACAAAGGATTTAAGAAACCCAGGAAGAAACAATATATAAAATGATTATTTTTCACTCACTTGCTGCCTTAATGTTTTCACTGGTTGTGCAATAGACTCTTTGTTTGTTAGGAACAGTATATCCCATCCACATCTCTCACTATTATGCACTTTACATGCAAGTAGATTATAGAAAGAATCTGGATCCGTGCTGATCTGTGTAGGCAGCTGGTGAGATGCCCAGCTGTTGTGGGGCACATTCCAGTTGGTCAGGTCTCATTTCATCTAATTTTGGCAACTGCCCAGGGAGTTTACCATGTGACCAAAGCCACGTGGGCTGATGACGGGCTGATGACGAAGAATAATTTGATTAAAATAAAAAAAATCAGATTCCCACTCCCAATAATGCTGTGCTCAATATACTCAATATCATTCAAGACAGGAGACCAGCCCTGATTCTTATGACCAAACACACAATTTAAAGGAATTTAAGGACAAGTTAAAAAAGTAATAACAATTTTCAATATTGGCCATACAGAGAAAATTAAATCTTCATATACTGTATATTGGTTTCGATAATAGCTTACATATAAATAATGAAATACTGAATGGATTTTAAGTTGAATAGAACTGATTACACCACAAAACACATACCTATGAAATATATAACTAATTCTAAACCCTGCTCAGCTCCATTCTTTTATCGTTATCAATTCTTCTTTACCAGACATTGCTCAATACTTAAAGGACAGTATTTGCACTCTGCTCTGTGCAGCAGAGGCATTGCACATCTTGTATGCATTTCCTTTATTTGTTTTGTCATTTTATTGTATTTTCTATTATGTATTGGAATGGCTTAAAGTTATAAAGAGTAACCAGTAGCCTCTTAGCCAGGAATGCTGTGGCTTGTTTTATCAGAACTACAGTACGTACTGTACAGTAGATGCAAAACACTTCCTGTGTCTGGGAAGCACATGAAATTCACCTTTTGCACTCAGAGGCTTTAGAGCCATGTGATGCTAATTTCCCTCCCTACAGCAATTCCTCATGGCCAATTACTAAAAAGGCGTGACAATTCAAACATAGTATTATGATATTCTTCGGAAAGTTGATTGATGGGTAGTGCCAGACACTTGGAAAATACAGTACATCAGCAGAGTGTTTAATACTGCAGCAAGTCATAGGTGCAATAAAGGAGAGCTCGACCTGCATAAAGGTTATTAAGAGCAGCACAAGATGAGCACTTCTTTGCTCTGTCATCATTTGCTTGTACAGTCCATATTATCTGATGGCAAAAAATGGCATATTAAAAATCCTTTCTTTTCTGTTAATCTAACATTACTAATAATACTTAAATATCATATTAATTGCTGTGAGATTAATCATTGTCAGAAGCCTTATGCATTATCCATGAATTTTCAAAATCAAGTCCATATCACACTGTTAAGCTTCTTAACACATGTCTGCAGTGTAAATACACCAAAGGATTAATGAGCATGCATGCTTTAAATAAATAATTACCAGATTAATCTGTTTTTACACAGTTATGAGTAATTCAGATAAGCAAGATGTACGTGCCAATAATTCCTTTCGTGCCTGGTAATTAGCCACTTACGGTACGATAACTTGTGGAACTGTTAAGAATAAAATCACAGGACCAAATGCGTTACATAGTGTAGTAGTTAAGGAAAATTGCAGATTTCTCCTCAAAGTATCCGGGCACCTATAATATTGTAACGCAACAGGGGCTCAGGCGGGCGCCCTTTCCGCATCTGGTCGGCCCCATCCCGACTGGAGGCTCGAACCCGGGACTTCCGCGTCTCTCTGCAGCGACCCAGCCCCGTGAGCTAAAGAAAGATCTTTCCACAGCCCAGTACCTGTGGTCCTGCTATCACAGGGAAGGGCGGTGACGTCACCCGTTCTGGTACGCCGGCTCTTACACACACTGCTTGTCGGCCGTAAGCGTTACAATATATACTGTATATACAGTATAGCTGTAGGCCTACCGTATTAAATGGAGTGCCCCGTCGCACAGGGACACTCCCGTGACAGTGACAGACCTGAGCGTTCACCGACACAGAAGCGTTGTGCATCGGCCTAAGCGTTACAAATTTACTGGAGCTGGAGAATAAAGTTTCCTAAATTCGCCGATTTAGCAACTGGGTGAACTTCTGAATATACAGATAACCCTGAAACTAATTTAAGAGTTAAATTCAGACCCCTAAGGAAGAATCTCAGCCAGTTTTTGGACCGAGTTCAATACATGCAGGTTTAATAGGCATTCTTTTTCATCATCAATGCAAGACGGAATCTTCAGTAAACGCTCTGCAGTTAAATACTGTGTGCTTTAGGGTTCTATGGAACCCTGGTTGTAGTAAAACGGTCAGTACAGAATAGCGACTAAGCCCCACTTGAAAAGTACTTTCCCCCGGTTCCGTCAGGCACGCTGAGTGAATTTGCAACGGGTGGTCACTTGCAGGTAGCCTCTCTGGCCCTGAAGGGCCCGACGTTTCCCCTCTCATTCTCACGCGTCTGGTGCAGCGGTGCAGCAGTGCAGCAGCTCCCCGGGGCTGAGAGAGTGGAGCCCGGCCCCGCGCAGAGGGTGAGGTGGTGGTGGGTATTTCCCAGGGCACACAGCACGCATACTGTACAGTGTGAATAAACTGGTAGCGAACGACCCTTACTAATGCTTACTTTCCATGGAAAGTAACTGAAGTCAAATATTTGTCATTTAAATCGACGTTTTATCAATTGCAACGTCTTAGTAAACTGTCAGTTTAGTTTTCAAACGTCGAAAAGTAGTAATTAAGCCATAAGATATAGGAATATGAGCATGTATTTCAGTAGAGCCACAGAAGAACGGAATTAGTTACCAACTAAAATGTTTAACTCGGAAACTGATAGAATTCTTCCGCACATATCCAAGGAACGATACAGAAATAGTCCATATATTTTTGGGAAAATAAAAATGACTTGAGAAAACATTTAAAAAAGATTGAAGATATTATCTTATATGGGGTTTGACGTTATTGAGGTGAATTAAACGAACACAACAGAAGCGTCAATTTGAATATACAAGCGCACATTATTCATTAATTCTGTCGTTTATGTGTTCATTTTATTCAAATCACGATCAAAAGAACAGGCTCTTTATATTGTTTCTACGCAGTAGAATACGTTGTTGTATATAATTTCACAAACAACACGTTATAAAAACAATAAAATCTGTAGCTCAATGAGCAGATCAACTTTGTACTTTATGCTTCTTCTGAGTCTCTCGTTTTATTGAACAAGTTGTAGACGAAAAAAGTAAAAGCACATTAAGATCAGACGGAACAAAACCAAACGGGTTAGCATTTTAAATAGCGAAACTCTAAATTACTAGTTAATAGCATCTTTTATAGTTCTTGAAAATTGTGGGTGTGGGTGAGAAGCTATTTTACCAAGGACAATGTCACCTACTATAACTCGTGGGCTAATTTAACTGTAACACGTTGTGAACCTAATTGCACAGCATTTAATTTTTACGTTTGCTCATTACAAATAAAAATATAATCATTTTTAATCGGGTGCATGGCAGATATTCCATCTAATCGGTGCAAGCTTGTGTAATTGGCGGTACCGATCGGATGCGTTTGTGCTCTAGCATTTCAGTACTATCGGTTTGGGTTTTGAAAACTGCATTTTTAGAAAACGAAGGCCTCACAACTCTTACATTTATTTTTAAATTAAAAAACGGATTCAATTCATTTCGGAATGGGTGGTACAGAACTCCAAATGCAGTGAACCAGCTAAAGATGTTTTGAGGTATAGGATATTTCTTTATAGCAATTAATTTCAAACAATTGTTCACATTGTTTCTTTAGCCTAATAAAGTGAACGCAGATGTTCCCAAACAAGTTGACAGTAATTAAAGCTCTCTGCGTAATTATTAGGAATTCAGCCTCTAGGATAGCTGATAGATGCTGTATCGTGAACAAAATAAATAAAATAAAAAGCCGTACAGATGAGGATAAATCCCGATACAATTCCAGCGGTTTATTACTGGTACGAATTGCAACAGCTCCGTCTATCAGTTTTATTGTTACTCAATCCACAGCAGACACGCCGCGGAAAATGCGATGCCAGAGTTATGGGGGTTATAAAATAACAGGGCATGGATTTTTACAGCGTGCCTATTAACACCCGACAGCTTAGATATGCATGTATAATTTTAATTACTTGCATACTTCATCTATATGTAAGATGTCCATACACTAACAAGGGATTTCTGTTTTAAGTTCAGAAGCCCAGAAGCACCCCCTCCTCCACCTGTTATCACATATAATTTAGCGGATAAAAGTTTAAATGAAAATAAAAGCATCAACAACATTTAATTAAAAACAAACTGAAGGCACCTGCAAGCGCTCTAACTGCAAAGGCAGGGAGCAAGCCTTCACGATGCAAACTTCACCGTAAAATTATCATCAGAAACTTTTGCCTACATAATTCTACAGCAAACAAAACATTCACTGAGTCATTTTTTTAATGGGTTTCCCCTTCAACATCCACTAGCCTGAGTCCTCTAAACCGGTTGATATGCGTGAAAGTCACTATCAAGCCTCAAATATTGGTGAAAAGCAAACTAATCCTCCGTGAGCAGTTTAGCGTTTTTTTTCCCCCCGATTACTTACAAAGTTTGCGCACGTAACGCCAGACACGATAACTTCACCATTATTCATTGTTTGACCGGTTTAGAAGCATTTTTGAATGAGGACTACGATCAGCTCAGGACGTGCGCAGCAGCGATGAATCCCAAGTTAGCGAGTAACACAGAGCGGCTTCGCTGTAGAGCGCTGCACAACTTAGAGACCTGAAACCTGGCAGCAAATGCCTAATACTGCATGTCTTCTAGCCCCACAATAGATTTCTTTAACGCTTTACAACCAGCGCCTTTCAGACTCTGATGATGAAGGCAAGAGAGTATGAGCTGTAACTTGAACGGCGCTGAACCCTCGCTTACCAAACAAGCAGTCCCATTGATGAGCAGCAAGACCAGCCAGCGGATAGAGCGCATCTTCACAGCGTGTCGTCTCTCAGCTCCCGTGCTCAAAGCCTAGTCTTCATTCAGGAAGACTGAAATCCTCCTCTACGATAACTCCTCATTCTACAGCAGGGTCCCATATCCAAAAGCCGTTGGAAATGTCGTTAATACAGACGTGCAGCCCTCTAACAGTTCCTGCTTTCTGTGAACCGAAACGAATCTTGGGGATCCATAGGTAGAAGGAAAAAAAAAAGATCCCACGAAACAACGATAAGAAAAGCCTTGCAGAATCGCCAGTGTCCTCGCAGGATGAGTCTAGAGTGCGCACACATTCATTACAGCAGGCACACTGACAAGCCTAGAGACTGGCATTCCCGTTAAGATCTCTCGTCCCCTCTTTCTCTCTCCTCTCTCTCCCCACCTCCCCCTCTCTCCCCCTATATCTCGGTGTTACTACCTAATGACTACCGCAGCTGCTACCTGGTGGAAAACAGACTGCTCGCATTAGAGCAACACCATCTCACATCTGTGAAAATAATTGCTGTTACTCCCGAAATGCAGACTGAAGCCGGTTCTAACGTGAACAGCAACCCCGTCTTTCAGAATTTCGAATTTACAGGAAGAAAAAGAACTGGGGGGAAAAGCCCAGCTTTGAAATCCTGGATAAAGAGCGAACATCGAATTCTCGAATACAAGCCGGCGTGGATGCGAACCACGTCAGTACTTGAGTTGCAGAATCGTGTCGCCTTTTTTTGGGGGGGGTCTTTTGAAAAGTGAAATCGGTTCGGCACCGCTGTGTGAGCGTCGCCTGTGTAGAAACCGCTGGAGAGGTCAGGTTCCCACAGTGCCAGCTCTAGTGAAGCATCCTTTAAACTAGACAGGTTGAGACCCATTCGCTCTTAAAAAACTTCGTGATGTACTGATGCGCGGCCACAATGTGGAAGTCGAGAAAGAGGTCCGCACCGTCTTGCTCAAGATTTTCCGGCGTAAAATCAAAAGCAACATTTCAAAGGTTTTTGAAAAATAGTCTGTTGTGACTGTCTGTCTGTTGCTTAGACGAACGAGTGTGCACTGACTTACTGTCCATATCGTTAAAATTCAAGAGAGGGGAAGACGGTGTTCGCTTGCATTCGGAGCACCTCCAAGATGTCTAATCTTTTATCCCAAAGGATAGGGTTAAGTTCAGGAAAAACTACCACATTTACAGTTTTATATTTGGATGACGCTTTTGTCCAGTGAGTTTTACAGTACTTTTACACCCCTTTATAAGGCTGGCTATTTCCCCGGAGCAATCTTGGTACTCTACTCAAGAGGGTACAGCAGAAGGGCTCACCTGGAAATGGAACTCAGCAGCCGATTTAACTTACGAGGCCAAAACCTTACCATAGCTGCTAATGACAATTACAATGATTATTCATACCCACGAAAGAGAAAACGAAGAAAATCGTGCGGTATCTATGGAACACAGGCATCCGATCCCCAAGAAAAAAAAGTCTAAAAAAAGTCAGGGATTGTGGGGTGAATCGGGGACAAACAGGTGGGTGTTGCCAGTCGGTCCACTATACCCCTCCCACAGTAAGTGTTAGGCGCTTTGAGATCCTGTGAAATGCTAAGCGTTGTACAAAAGGAATTCAAGGGTGACAGCCCAGATGAGCTATTGCTACTGATGCGCTTGCTACCACAAGGCTACTGCTACTCCTGTTGCTACAACGAAATTACTGCCGTACCAGCTAGTACTGCTATTGCCACTACTGCGACTGGACAGTATTACACGTGTGGCTAACACAACTAATACCCGAATGTGGAGGAGAAAAGTAATGCCCCATCATTTGTTACACCGTGCTGCCGCCGTGTGGAGCTGAAGTCTTAGTCCTTTTTACGAGCACGCCTGCAGGTGTTGAGGCGCATAAATCTAATATAATGGGGGAAAAAAAACACGTCCATTTAACATAATAGAAGTCTAGATGTGACATTCACGTCACCTTTCATTCTCGATTACGTCGTTTATACGAGGTTATCGCTCCCACTTAGATTTTAAACCGTATATCCCACCCTTTCAGGAGACCCATATTCCCAAATGGCTGAAGCTCCTTTTATAGCGCGAAAGGGATGGTGTGTCAAGGAGACAAGTCCGAGCATATCGTTACAGATAGAGAGGGTTATGATAATAGAGAATGCCGAAAATAGACAGAGTGGGTTAATCAATAAGTAAAATAAATAATCATAACCCCCCAAACCGGAAAGATAAAGTGGTTGGTATAATTAGGGAGACTTGAATTCTTTATTTTCTGGCACAGTTTTGGCAAAAGAAAAATTACGCTCACTGGATTAAGCAAATATTTATTAAAAATGAAAAACATGCACAGTAAACAACACAACATACAACATACAAATAGAGAAGGCACTCTATTTACAAACAAGGCAGCAGCTAGCTTGACTGTTGTCTCTAGACTGTGAGACAGCTCAATAACCCTTTCCAATAGGCATAACAATATTTATTGATTAACTGTTCAAATCAGACATTTCAAATATAATAATACATTATGAAGAACTACACTTAATATTGTATATAAATTCAAGCAGTTTGACTAAATTTAAAAATGTGAAATGTGAGACACCAAGTTTAATACTGTTTTTATAATAAAAGATTTGCTTACAATAAGAACATTGTTTATTTTTAAATCTTGCATGCGTTCCTTTTAAATACACACATTTTCATGTACTTCAGTTACTGCCATAAACAAGTCATTACTAAATACAAATGTAAAAAAATGTAGATACATTCTAAATAGAGTAATTTACTGTATATGTGAAATACAGAATGTCTTTGGAACTTTAAAAACTGGATTGATTTCATAGTAGTATAGAGAAAGTTTCATTAAGAACCACCTCTATGCCCTCCTTTGTATTGAAAAAAGTATCACAGTAAATATTAGGCTACATAATATACTGTGTATCTAAATTAAATCAAGTAGACCCTGAAATTGAAATAGGCTATTTAGGTCAACACATTAATTCTAACTGTGAGAACAGGGAATGTTCTGTGCTACAGGCAGCTATAGAATGTCACAGATAGGAGGGTCATTAGTAGTGATGAAGCTTATAAAGGAAACTGGCTAATTGGACAACTTGAAATCTCCATTGTGCTGACTGACATTCCACTGTTCACAGAGCAAAGGCCAGAGCAAGCAAGACAAAAGACAGCAGTTCTCACGCCTTCTCTGGGCAGAGGGATCTCCAGTGCTCACATACGGAACACCTGGGAATGTGCTGGAACGTTCCTAGACTGACGCCCTGCTGCCATTCCTCACAACCTCAGATAAAGGTGTTCTTAACAACAACAACCACAATAATAATAATACTGTAAAAAGGCGCCGTCCTTCGGATGAGATGTAAAACCGAGTTTCTGATTCTCTGTGGTCATTAAAAGTCCCAGGGGGTTTCTTGAGAAGAGTGGGGGTGTTACTGGCCAAATTTTCCATTGGCCCTTACCAATCATGGCCTCCTAATAATCCCCATCTCCAAACTGGCTTCATCACTCTGTTCTCCTCCCCACTGATGGTGAAGGCCAGGGTGATATTTGTTTAGGATGCCGGGGAAACACTCCTCTTGTTAGTAAAGAATGATATGAGATTAGCAGCAAATTTTTTGAAACACAAAATGTGCCGTGTCCTATAGATAATGGTGTTCTTAATATTCTCACTAGTGAAGGCGTATGCATCCTGTAGTCTTCTGTAGCCCAGTAATTCCCTTCCCTGAGACACTGAATCTGGAGCCCACGTCAGGAATGGAATACAGTGCTATGGGGCATGTTGATATTATTCACTCAGTGTGTCATTATTTACAAATGACTCAAGCATCTGCGAAAGAAAAATGGACACAGAAGCATAAATTCTGAAATGGGAATCAAGACGAAAGAAATAATAGTATGCAATTATTTTAACATTTTTTATTTTCATTGTGAAATTAATGTTTAATCTGATGATTTACTACTGTATCTACTAATAAATACAGTTATTTATTGTGCAATTATAAAAAATGAGGTTGTTAGAGACAGGTAGTGAAACATACATTATATACAGTACTGTAGCTGTAGAAGCAGTAAACATATGCTAGGTTACAGTATGCATACGCTACCTTAAACCACATTTTGAGTTTTGAACACTTTTTTAATTGCCACTCAGTTTTCCAATAGGGGGTGCCAAAACATTTTCCAAAATGAAACAGTTGACATTCTCCGTTTTCCAGAGACGTGAATAACTCTCAGACCCCTTTCACAGATTGGCTGAAATAAATCAATACCAGCCAGACTGTATTTATGATAAGCCCCATTTTTTGGATTTTTTCCCTGTAGCCTCTGTGTGGATAGTGATTGTAAGAGATTGTCCTGGTGTATCTTTCTCTCCCACTGGACTTGCTTTTGTATTATTTTCTCTCTGTTTCATTTGCTGAGGGCTAGCAGAGAGACAATGTAATAATTAAGCCAAGGTATTCCCACAGAAAGTGCTCAATTTAAGTCAGCTAGGCAGGCAGGTCAGAAGTCTTTCAGTTGGAATCCAAGGCTAAATGCTGTGCTGTGCCTCCTGCCCTGCTGGAATCAAGCCTTTCCCTGTGGGGTCAGAGGTCAGTGACCGAGAGGGAATCCTGTGTCCAATGTAGCCCTGGAGGGTCTCAGGTCAGGGCTTCAGTTGCGCATATTGATCCAGTCCAGGTCAGGAAACACTTAACCTGGAATCAATCGTACTGTAACACAAAATAAAGCTAATGGCCACCCAGCCCAGTACACAGAGAGCAGACATCCGCCTGTCATTTTCGTTTTCACTCCACTCGTGAAAGATAGCCTTCCTTTTGTGTCCGAATACTCACATGTTTTGGTTGTAAGCACAGTATTTAAGCTCAGGACTAAATGTAAATTAAGCACCAGAGAATGGAAACTAAGCATCAAAGTGTTTTTGGTGTGGATTCAGAAGAGAAGGCAAAGACCATTGAAACTACATATATAATACAGTATATATAATGGAGGTGACAAATGCCATTGCTGCTGCAGCTGTTTAAGATGCTCCTGCTGCCAAATCACAATTTCCAGTGTTGCTTTGCTCCTATTTTCACTTTGCATTTATTAAAATCAACAAATTAGGCAAACTTTACAATTACACCAAATCTGTAAGTGTATGGGAAAATATACACATCATCAAAAATGTGATGACCGATTTTTATATGTAGATATGGAAATAACATAAATCTACAGTATATTTCAATACAGAGAACATGGATGTGTGGGAAGGAGAGTTTCATCTGGTTTTCTTCTCCCTGTCAGCTGATGTTAAGGAACATGGCTCCACCTGCTGGCAATGACGGAGATTACGGAGGAGGAAGACCGGACTATCTGAACGTTGTGTGCTACTGTACTAACAACATACACACCAAGCACAGCATGCTGGTTCCAGGACGGAGGTTATTGCAGTAGTCTCACACATCTCCAAAATCACTGTTGGCGGCCGGGGCTTTATAGAACAGGGCCCCTACATTTGGAGATGCCCCTAGGGTCTTAGTCTTTAAGTCAGGGCTCAAGACCTATTTGTTTAGTCTGTGTTTTCCTTAACCTACAATTCTAATAGGGTTACCAATGGTCAGAGGGTGTTATATAACGTTATTCATCTTAAACTGTCATATTTCATTCAGTTACTGTATCAGACTTTCTGCCTGCCTGGGTCGATGTCAGTGTTGGGATCTGCCACTCAGCATGCACATGTGAACCTGGAGCCTAGAACTCCACACCCAAGCTGGGAGACCCAGGAAACTTCAGCAAGGATGATCACAGTATACATGTTCAGGAGGGCAGGGTATCAGCTAGGGACTTTGCAGAAACTGTTCACAATCCATTTGGA